CATTATAAAAACACATTCACACTAGTATAGAGTGGGTAAAATAATCATATGGGGTCATACACTACGGAAACACATTCACACAAGAGCATATTAGAGCAAAATTACATGGGTACTTTATGATGGTTTTAAAAATAACTTTAGATATACTAAAATATTTAATACTCATATAACATGCTAATAAAATGATTTAACTAAACTATATTTAACTTTAAAAATAATTGATTGTAAAATTCATTTTATTCTAAAAATCATGCTATCAACTTAACTTATAAAATAAGTAACTTTAAATTTAATTAATATTTATTTATGAAAAATAAATTTTTTCCACTCACATAATACAAGCTCCCGCTTAGAATGGTTAGTAGGTTTTTTTAATCTCCTTGTCACCATTTGAAATATGATACAAGATAACCAATTTAACCACTATAAAATCAAAAAACCTTTTATCTCTAGTGATATAATACTTAAACTAAATTTCTCGATACTTGAATAAAATTTTCAAATCTTCCTTTAATTATTCGGAGCAAATTCTACTTTCTAGTCACTTTACTAATAACTAATTTATCAAAATAAGCTTCATCCAAAGCATAAAAATAATTATCATTCGATCTACTGAAAACTTACACAAACAACTCAACTAACCTAACTTTCGATTTGCTCCATAAACTCATGCTTTAGCTTGAATATTTCATCATCACAATCATTTCCACTAACAATACTTAATCAATAATCCCAAATAAGAATTTTAGGATTTGCTCAATAGATATTACTTACCTTGATATAAATATCATTCACCACTCAAAAAGATTGGCTTGAAATCATGCACTTTCCTTCATTCTGAAATTTAATCCAACAACTTAGAACCCTAGAAAATTTAACATCATATACACCATAAAATATCTACTTCTTTATCTCTTTAACGATTGAAATAATTGAACCCAAGTTTGAATAAATCAACACTTCCTTCTTTTCTTTCTCTTTTTCTTCCTTTCTTTCCCGATTTTTCTTTCTTTCTCTCTGCCCCTTTTTGCCCTCGGTTTCTATGTGTGTGTATCAAATTAAAAATGAAAACAATGGTTAAACAAAAGATTAAGCAAAAATTCTAATTCTTCCACTTATTGGGGTCCAAGTTTGTAGTGAAGACATATAAGATTGCAGTGAGCCACGCCCCTACATAACTTCCTGAAGTATTTCCCATACAATTAATTCCATTCATTTCATTTCAATTCACATATCCTTTAACTTGCAGATAGAGATGGCAAAAAGGCTCAAGGGCTCGAGCCGCTCGTGGCTCGACCAGCAAAAAGCTCGAGCCGGCTCGGCTCGAGGCTTGATCAACCGAGCCTAGGCTTGGGCGAGCCTGCGCTGGCCCATGTGGCTTGTGGGCCGGCTAAAAAAGAGAGAGAAAAGAGAAGTAAAGTAGCGTAAAATGCAGCTACCAGCTCGCCTTCTGAAAAAAAAAAGTAGAAAAAGGAAAAAAGAAAAAAACCGAGTCGGCTCAGCCCATCTTCAAAAAGCTCGAGTCGAGCACGAGTCTTGATTTTTGGCTCGCGAGCCGGTTTGGCTCAACCCATTGTCATCCCTACTTGAAGATTTGGAAGCATTTTAGAAGAGATACAGTGACTCAAATAATAGATTCAAGCATAGGAAATGAAAATGCTGATGAAGTCCTAAGAGTGGTTCAGATTGCTTTGCTGTGTACCCAAGAGTTGCCAGATATGCGTCCCACAATGATCCAAGTACTTGATCTGTTAACACGAAAGGATTTAGTATTGCCAATTCCATCAAAACCCCCCTTCACAGAGGAATTCTTGATCGATATATCCGTATTGGCTGCCTCTCAATCACATTACTCTTCTGCATCAGTGGATTCTTGTATATTCTATGACACGTAGAGTCGCCTCATTTCGTGGAAATTTTTTCCTTCAAGATCACAAGACACAAAATAAGTATTGCTCATGTAAGGCAAGGTGAGTATTGCTTTCGCTAACTTGGCTTGATTATCACACATATTCAATACATATTCAATACCTATTATGTGTGATAATCAGGCCACGTTAATTTAAATTTTTCTTTCTCCTATTTTTAATTACATAATCTTCAATAAAATAATATTTTCGTAAATTGTAAACTTCTCATTTTTTTATAATCATCAATTTTTTAAAAAGAAAAATACTATTCCTCCATTAAAAATCCAAATAATGAGGGCCAAACGGGTCAAAAGTGTTGCATGTGTATTTGTCATTGTTGAAAATGGCATGGTATTTATGATTTCGAGGTTAAATTCTTGAGGTTTTCGTAATCTCGTCTGTTAAAGCCATTCCTTCTAACTTTTCAATTAAAAATACAGAAACTTAAAAGTTGGAATACCTAACCTTTATGGCTTGTTTAAAGTCAACTTTCCACACCAATAAATTAAGCTCCCATTTATTTTCGATTCTTTCTTCATTAAAATAAAAAATATTATCATTAACTATTACATCAAATCATTATATTTGAATTTTTATCTTTTGTGTGGAACTCATAACAACTATATTTTTCATTCTCATTCTTCTATAAATGAGAAACAAACGGGGCGTGCATATTTAGTTCTAATTTTTCATTCAAAAAAATAATTTTTTGATCGTTACATTCCTAAATCAGCTATCATTTTTGACTTCTTGTCTCACTGGTGAAACTCACATTTCTCTTTAATGATCAAAAAATCAATTCTCATAATTACTACCGAACAAGCACTAAAATTAAAATTATACATTACACGAGTTCATCCGATGCAAATGATATGCTACAGAAAAAAATCAAAATTTGTCTCGGTATTAGTTTAAATTCAAAAATCTTCACAAAATTCTGAGTAGCTTATGTACAACAATCAATTCATAGGATGTCAAAACTATTTTTAACCATATATTCTCTAAAAATGTATTATTAAAAAATCCTTTTTTTTTTAATAATAAAAAATGTAGCTCAAACAAAAACACATTCTAATTCATCATAGACGGGAGTTTGGACAATATTCGTCGTACAACGAATAACGTAGTAAACAATTTTCTCATGTTTTGAATTTTGCCCCCTCTTTCGTGTCTAAATTTTCTCGTCTTCGCCTTTCCTGAATTTGAGACTACACTTTTGTGCTGGATTTACAGAAAGTTATATATGTTTTCAATATTCTGAAGCCGTTTCTTTTGAATTTTGAGGTTGTCCTATCATGAGATTGTGTGGTCTTCACCGTAAGCGCCACTCCCCCCACCCCTCACCCTTCTCAATTTCTATTTACAGAAAATAGAAGCTTCATTCTGCATTTTATTGTTGAATGATTCACAAAACTAATATAGCAACTTTCAAAAATGAGTACAATCATGTTTAAATTTTCAATATAATTGTAAAATTAATGTCAAAACCGTCTATAAATTCCTTTAAATTATCATGTGATCTTCAAAGGTCTAAACATATAAAACTATATTTTGTTTCTCTCATTTAGATAATGCCCAAAAAATTGGAATGGAAATTGAATTTAACTGTTCTTGGATCTGTAACTGTAATGAAACTCGACTATCGACTTCTCTCTTTCTCTCTCTCTCTTTTTTTTTTCTTTTATAAATGTTGGAGCCCACTTTTTATTGTATGGCTAATGAAAAACTAACTATGTCATCTCTCTTCGAGTAACGTTATTCATCATTTTACTAGCAATTTAGGTGACAATAAATCTCTAATTCGTTGATGCATTGAACGCTGAATTAGAAATCTCATTGTTATCTAAAATGTTGCATAATGAATAATAGATAAATAAGTGCTATCTAAATTGGTGGCGTTCCTAGCAAATAATAAATTTTTATTCTTTTCTGTAATACAGACATGTAACAGCGGGTAAAGAGTGAAAAATGGGAAATGATTGGTTTTTCTTTGTATATTACTTTGAGAAAGAGTCAAATTTCAGCTTAGAAGAGGGGCTGTAAGTGGGGGAGAAAATGGACATAGGAATTTCTTAAAGAGATGCACTGTACAAAACAAAATTTCACAGAAATTGTACAAACAATTCACGATAAGGGGTGGGTAAATTTTATGACAAATTTTTATCAAAACGTGGGAGCCACTACATGTGAGGTTTGGGGAGCATTTTGTGAGAATTTATTCCGTACAAATAGCTTTCTACAATTTTTTAATATTTTCAAGAAAGTGACTAATATCACCAAATATTCTTTGGACTTTTTGTCAACCGTACTTTTTTTTTCTCATATTTATTTTTAAATTTGGATAGCTTGCACAGCACAATGTGATTTAGGCAAAAGTTCAATTAAGCAGCGTGGGTTATTTGAAAGTTGTTAAAAATTGTGGGTCCAGGCAATTAAAATTAATTGTTGATTTTAAATTTAATCTTTTAATTTTGAATTATTTGAAGAACCACTTAATCTCATAATTATTTTTTGGGGACAGTACATTCTTGTATAGTCCCACCTAAGAATATGATAGGTCCCAAAAATAAACTTGATCTATAAATCACTTGTTTCATCCAACAAATTTTTAAATTTTTATAGTTTATTTAGCCACTGTTTGATTTTTAGTAGATTTTTAACAGAACTGATGAAATATGCGTTGAAACATTGTAAATTTCATGAAATATGTGATTAAAAATATATTTGATGAAAAAAAATAATTTTTAGAAAATGAGAATCAAACAAGAACTTAGTAAAGGTTACAGTGGACCGAGCTAAGTCGTCCACGAGCGAATCATTTTTCTAAAAAATAAAATAAGTCTAAAAATGAGTCAGCTAGTGTCCACTATCGATTTTATCTGTTTGTCACCCCTAATTTGGGGGTAAAATAAGACGGGATTAATGAAAAATTGCCATAAAATTGGTCGGTGCTAGTATTACCATTGCAATAAAAGTATCAAACACGGAATTCAAAATGGGAATAGAATAACATGCAATTTTACTGTTGGAACCAACTTTTTGACCGTACATATTTGAATCTACAATGATATTTCACTGGGTAGACCATAGAATTTGTAAAGCTACCAAATCTCCACAGAGAAAGGCCATGGTTTTCATTTCATTTTACATGCATTTGTCAAGCTCAAATTGTTCGTGTTTCAAATGGATCGTAATCTTCATGTTCTTGTACATGTTCGCATTATCTCAAGCTGATCCAAGGATTTCCGAAGCTGGGCTTTTCTGTGGCAAATCAAGGCCGCCTCCAAATGCCAGTTACATCCCACTGTTTGTTAAAGAAATGAGATTTCTTTCTCAACTCGTGACATCCCAGAATTGGGGTAGTTCTGCAATGAATAATAGTGCTATTTCGATTTATAGTTTAGCCCATTGCTATAGAGATTTATCACACGATGATTGTCTACAGTGCTACGCCGCAAGTCGAACCCTCCTCCCCCGCTGCCTTCCCGCCGTGAGTGGCCGTATATTTCTCGATGGGTGCTTTTTGCGGTACGATAATTACAGTTTTTTAGGAGAAACAGTAGACCCAAATTGGGATAAACGGAATTGTAACAGTTCAATTGATGATAATATAAATCAGATTCAGTTCACGCGATCGGAATTTAATAAAACTGTTGAGGATCTGATTCATAATGTTACAACAAGTGCAGCATTGAACGATGGTTACGCGGTGGCCGGCTTGAAGGGTGTTTATGGTTTGGCTGATTGTTGGAAAACTTTGAGCACAAATGGTTGCAGAGAGTGTTTGACGGCGGCGGGTAGGGAGGTGATGGAGTGTTTGCCCAGCCGGGAAGGCAGAGCAATGAACGCTGGTTGTTATTTGAGATATTCTACTAAGAAATTCTACTCTAATCATTCTGATACAACAAATCAGAGTTCCGGTAAGTTTGGTTTATTCTATAATTTTTTATAGGTGATTAAAATTCTCGTTTGATCGAATTCGAGTCGAGATTTAAATTACATAATTGTTTTTCATTTTTACTTCTTTTCTGGTTAAGTATATATCTCTCTCATACTTTTTGAGTATGTGAACTTGAAAGAGCCAAGTCTGTGACAACATTTGAGTGATCCGTGGTCAGATTTCTCAATTTTAAGGCTATTTTGCAGAAATGTTGAAGACGGGGACAGTTTTGGCAATTGTTTTGTCGGTATCGGCCTTCTCTATGCTCTCTGTATTTTGCGGTTATGCAGTCTACAGAAGATGGAATAAACGAAATCAAGGTATAATATCCATAATATTATAGTTTTCAGAATCGATTCAGTTTCAAATGGGAATGGTTCTAATTATGTTTAATGCGGGTTTTGTGCAGCAAGAAAAAATCTTGGCCTAATTTCATGTTCTTACAACAAGTCGAATTTGAATTTCAAATACGAAACTCTCGAGAAAGCAACAAACTATTTTGATCCTTCTAGAAAAGTAGGACAAGGAGGAGCCGGAGCTGTGTATCGAGGAACCCTAACAAATGGAAAGACTGTGGCCGTGAAAAGATTGTTTTTCAGCACTAGACAATGGGTTGATGAGTTCTTCAATGAGGTTAATCTCATCAGTGGAATTCAACATAAGAATCTTGTGAAGCTTTTGGGTTGTAGTATTGAAGGCCCCGAGAGCTTGCTCGTTTATGAATTTGTACCTAACAAGAGCCTTGAACAATACCTCTTTGGTAACTGTTTATTTCTTTTTTTACTTCATTTAAGGTACTCTCGGATTTGTTTTTCGTGTCTTCTTGATATTTTTCCATCATTGTTTCCGTTCAGATGACAAGAAGGTTAAGATTTTAAGTTGGAAGGAACGCTACGATATTATAGTCGGAACAGCAGAAGGTATTGCTTTTCTCCATGGAGGTTCAGAATATAGAATAATTCACCGGGACATTAAGACTAGCAATGTTCTTCTTGATGAGAATCTTAATCCCAAAATTGCGGATTTTGGACTAGCTCGAAGTTTTGCCGTTGATAGATCTCATCTTAGCACAGGAATTGCAGGCACATTGTAAGAAAAATTATTATGGCTTTCCTTTGAGATAACCATCCATTTTTTGGCATATTTGATAAGATGGATTAGACAATACTAGATAGCATTAAGAAAGAAAAAGAATCTTCATTATATTCTCGAGTTCGGTCCAACATGACATACCAAACATGTTCATAAAGATTTGCCAGTTTCAAATTTAATGTATGATTTCTCATGATACAGAGGGTATATGGCTCCCGAATACCTAGTAAAAGGACAACTCACGGAGAAGGCTGATGTTTACAGTTTCGGCGTGTTGGTTCTTGAAATGGTGTGCAATAGAAAAAGTAATGCTTTTGTCGATGACTCGGGTTCTCTCCTTCAATCGGTATTTTCCAAATTTTGTCATTACTGCATTAAATTTTTTAGTATAATACTTTTATTCAGTTTATTCGTTGGTCCATATTTGTCAATGTGGTATTTTTGCATATAGGTTTGGAAACTGTACAAGACAAATAGATTGACAGAATCCGTCGATCCTTCTTTAGAAGGCGATTTTCCAGAATGTGAAGCATGGAGAGTGCTAAAAATGGGGCTTTTGTGCACACAGGCTTCAGTTTCTTTAAGACCGTCCATGTCTGAGGTTGTCCAAATGCTTACTGATTTCGACTGTCAAATTCCCGAACCGAATCAACCACCATTTTTGAAAGCCAGCTTGCTTTCTGCAACCACTACTCGGTCATCCTACAGCATAAGCGGTTTGGCATCAAGTGCACAGACAAAATTTGAAGCATTTTACACCACCACAGAAACCTCTACTCAGAGTTCAGATGCACATCCCAGAAGTAAAGAACAGTCCCACCCCCACCCCCACCCCCATCCCCATCCCCACCCCCAAACCAAAAAAATAAAAAATAAAAAATGTGAACAATGATGTAAATTTTGGTTTCCTTTTTTATGCAAGTCAACTTTCCTATATTCATGATGACAGATGAACCTCATAAAAATAGCTAGTTATTGATTCTGAAAGAAATATTTTTGGAATGAGATTGTGTTCTTACTCCCTTGCACAATTCCATTCTAATCAAAAGACTGCATGCCCCTCCTGCGAAATAGGTTGCCGAGCGTCTCATATTTGCTTCCAAAGTGTTAGTCGTGTAGGGCGACAGCGCAGCGTACATTACTTAAAATTTTCTTAATGCGGACCATGGACACGTTAATAATGCACAATTAAAACCAAAATATTGCCATGATATATATTTGCTTGTAGGGTTGTTATACCCCTAATATAAATTTTGGGGAAATTTTCAACTGCGGTTTCAAATCTGTGCTTTTAGTAAATTTTACTTCAATCTTTAGTTTGTGCCATCATAGGTCCCAAACCTTTGAGATATTCGCAAATGCAATTCAAAATGATGGAAAACGTTGATTCCACCGCCAGTTGACCTCAAAATTTTTTAAAATGCAAATTTTGATCAATTTAAATTGGGACATTTTTGTCCAATTCTATTTCCCGCTTGTTCATTGTACTAAACGGTTCATTTCCCTCCTTTTAAAGGTATTCCATATTCTTCTCTTTCTTCCATTTATCTTAGATTATTTTCAGCATGAATATGGACAGTGATGTCTATAGATGCAGTGATCCTATGTAGATGAAAACCTCATGAACAAACTTGAACCCAAGAAGAAAATTTCTCACTTGCCCATGGCTTCTGGATGTTGATGGATATAATTAGGGTGGGGCAAAATTCTCGAATCGAATCGACAAAATCGGACTCAAATCGAGCCCAACTGAGCCGAGTTGTTCTTCTCAAGTTAAATATTTGAACGGGAATCTGAATCGAAAATCGATGGATTTGGTTCAATTTTCAGTTCTAGATGAAGAATCGAATAATTGAATCTCCGTAATTTCTAATTTATTTATTTTAAATAAGTCAAATTATTTTATTTTTTTCTAAATGAATTTGCTAACTAGTTAATTTAGCTTAAATCCAAAAATATGATTTTTCATATTTCTAATTTTTAGTCCAAATCCAACTTAATCAATTGACCTAAATTTTACGCAAATATGTTATTCAATGTAGTGCCGATTCTACTGTTTTTTAAAAAATAGAATTGAAACTCGACAGCACCCTCTTAATTATTGTGAGCTCACTATCTTTCTCTTTCAATAATTTTAACAATCAAATCTATGAAGACCCAGCAAAGATTTTTAAAAGCTAAGATTGAACATGTGATTAGTTGAATTAATGTAGCTTCGTAAATACTAAAAAAAAATTAATTATAATACGAAATCTATGAATCGAATGAAACCCAACCAAATCAAATTGAACCGAATGGAATCGAACCCAAGCGGTTCCATAATTAAATTTAGACCCGACAATTTCATTTACTAAATACTCGAAAATTTTGGGCCCAATTCCGTTCTTGTTAGAATCCAACCGAATCGGATCACGGCCAGCCTTAGAAATAACTTCTTTAACTAGTATGACCCTCCAATGTGCGATAGATCGAAGGAGATAATCCCTGAATTTCTACGTGTTAGAAGAGAGGTAGAAGCTAAATTAAACACCCTACGTGCAAGAAGTCGTGGTTCATGGAGACCTGGATATTATGATTTGAATGTGAAATTTTTGTGAAAAGGGCATGTGCATAGATCTATGTTAAGCTTGTATTTTAGAAGATGGGTTTATGAGTTAGAAATCGAGTGTTGTCTATGGTCTTGTAACTTATTTTCCATTAAATAAGATATATTATCATTCAACAATGTTGCCCTAATTCTAATTTCTCACAGTTTCCTCCTCCCCCTAGGAGCAAATGCTTCAAAACGAAAGAAAAAAATCTATTCGAAAACTTGTTGTAGATGATGCATTACAAGTCTCCAACATTTTCAATTAAACATAGATAAATACCTAAACTTTTTACTATGTTGAAGCGTAGGTCCCAAAGCTTCGTATATGATTGCATAGCAAGTCCCAAACCTTTTAAATGAGTTGCATAATAGGTCCCAAACATTTTAAGGAGTTGAAGCTTATGTCCCAATCCTTGAGTCAGAATATCCATTTGGCTGTTTAGGTACCAATTCCAAATCCGTTTTACTTTCAAAACACGCATAACACAATGATCCAACAACAATCACCAATTAATGGCAGGAAGAATAATTTTTTCATTGGAATATTTACATTTTACCTCATAATTCATTTGTTCATCATACAAAAGCAATTCCAATTTTGTTCTACTAAATGTAGTCAAACAAAAAACTTCATCATACAAAAAGTTTGTTCAAAAGGATCAATATACAAAAAGCTATGTTCTTTTTTGTCCATCTTTCTTCTTCTTTGCTTGTGGATCATTGGGAGTAGAAGTCTTTCTCATATCTTTGCCTTGTGTTGAAGTTGGCACTGTATCCTGCTGTGTAGAGGCCTTTTTCTTTCCCTTGTCTTGTGATTGAGATGGCTGTGTATCTAGTTGTGTATATGCTTCAAAACATATTCTCTTATTATGGCCTATCCCACCACATTTTTACATGTCATTTTCATTCTAGTCCTTGCCATTTTGGTGTCTACATGTGGCTCTACTTGCGACCTTTTTCTCAACTTCTTTGATTTGCTTGCCTATTCTTTTTTATAGGTTGATTCAGAGGATATTTCCCCAGCTTTGGCCACAACTCAGGACCTGACATTGGTTGGACGACTGGGTTGTGGAACCTCAGGTAAGCTTCTTTGTTTTAGCATAAATCTACATAATAATATATGTCAATGTTTCTCGATAACGTACTAGACATTGCATGCACACAAGGTGTTCTAGTAAGTTGTCATTTTCTATATGCACATTCATGCTTCATCAAGTTCACTCTCTATCTCCTTCTATCCCGATCACTTATCTCAAACTTTTTACTTCCAGCATAGTTAGTGACACGACTCGTTCAGAATTATCCTAGTGGATTCGACACGAATTGTGCGTTAATGGTAGCTACCATTTAAATGCCGGACCCTCCACCAATACAATCTTGACTTACTGACTGTAACGAATTTTTAAAAGAATTTTGACAGAGTTTCCTCTGAAATATGGACTAAAATCATTCGTACAAAAATCAATTTTCTCAAATCTGTACATATAATTTAAAATAGGGTACATTAGCCCTTCAAACACAAACTATTCAAAATAAAGTGCACAAGAATGATAAAATAGGTTCCAATGTTGCTCAAATCAGTTACTATCTGATAAGAAAAAGTGTGACAAAATATATGAGCTTGTAACTCGATGAGTGAATATTTCACAAATATGTATATATTTTCCATTTATGCCAACTTTCTTAAAACTGGTATATAATAAAAATATCATCTTATAATACCATAAGCTAAAATCTTTATTCTTTAAACTAAATAAATTAAGGTCTGCAATCTGAAATATGATAAACTGTATATTATTGAAAATCACACCCAAAAGGTACTTGAAATAACCAAACTCATGTACCAATTAATCTCGATATACATGAAAAGATTATTAAATTTTGAAATTTTGAAATTCAATAATTTTGATCATACGCACGCAGAGTTACCTAAAGACTATAATCTAGTCATACACTATGAAAATACATTCACAATAGTGCAAAGCGAGTAAAATAATCATAACTGATCATACATTATAAAAACACATTCACACTAGTATAGAGTGGGTAAAATAATCATATGGGGTCATACACTACGGAAACACATTCACACAAGAGCATATTAGAGCAAAATTACATGGGTACTTTATGATGGTTTTAAAAATAACTTTAGATATACTAAAATATTTAATACTCATATAACATGCTAATAAAATGATTTAACTAAACTATATTTAACTTTAAAAATAATTGATTGTAAAATTCATTTTATTCTAAAAATCATGCTATCAACTTAACTTATAAAATAAGTAACTTTAAATTTAATTAATATTTATTTATGAAAAATAAATTTTTTCCACTCACATAATACAAGCTCCCGCTTAGAATGGTTAGTAGGTTTTTTTAATCTCCTTGTCACCATTTGAAATATGATACAAGATAACCAATTTAACCACTATAAAATCAAAAAACCTTTTATCTCTAGTGATATAATACTTAAACTAAATTTCTCGATACTTGAATAAAATTTTCAAATCTTCCTTTAATTATTCGGAGCAAATTCTACTTTCTAGTCACTTTACTAATAACTAATTTATCAAAATAAGCTTCATCCAAAGCATAAAAATAATTATCATTCGATCTACTGAAAACTTACACAAACAACTCAACTAACCTAACTTTCGATTTGCTCCATAAACTCATGCTTTAGCTTGAATATTTCATCATCACAATCATTTCCACTAACAATACTTAATCAATAATCCCAAATAAGAATTTTAGGATTTGCTCAATAGATATTACTTACCTTGATATAAATATCATTCACCACTCAAAAAGATTGGCTTGAAATCATGCACTTTCCTTCATTCTGAAATTTAATCCAACAACTTAGAACCCTAGAAAATTTAACATCATATACACCATAAAATATCTACTTCTTTATCTCTTTAACGATTGAAATAATTGAACCCAAGTTTGAATAAATCAACACTTCCTTCTTTTCTTTCTCTTTTTCTTCCTTTCTTTCCCGATTTTTCTTTCTTTCTCTCTGCCCCTTTTTGCCCTCGGTTTCTATGTGTGTGTATCAAATTAAAAATGAAAACAATGGTTAAACAAAAGATTAAGCAAAAATTCTAATTCTTCCACTTATTGGGGTCCAAGTTTGTAGTGAAGACATATAAGATTGCAGTGAGCCACGCCCCTACATAACTTCCTGAAGTATTTCCCATACAATTAATTCCATTCATTTCATTTCAATTCACATATCCTTTAACTTGCAGATAGAGATGGCAAAAAGGCTCAAGGGCTCGAGCCGCTCGTGGCTCGACCAGCAAAAAGCTCGAGCCGGCTCGGCTCGAGGCTTGATCAACCGAGCCTAGGCTTGGGCGAGCCTGCGCTGGCCCATGTGGCTTGTGGGCCGGCTAAAAAAGAGAGAGAAAAGAGAAGTAAAGTAGCGTAAAATGCAGCTACCAGCTCGCCTTCTGAAAAAAAAAAGTAGAAAAAGGAAAAAAGAAAAAAACCGAGTCGGCTCAGCCCATCTTCAAAAAGCTCGAGTCGAGCACGAGTCTTGATTTTTGGCTCGCGAGCCGGTTTGGCTCAACCCATTGTCATCCCTACTTGAAGATTTGGAAGCATTTTAGAAGAGATACAGTGACTCAAATAATAGATTCAAGCATAGGAAATGAAAATGCTGATGAAGTCCTAAGAGTGGTTCAGATTGCTTTGCTGTGTACCCAAGAGTTGCCAGATATGCGTCCCACAATGATCCAAGTACTTGATCTGTTAACACGAAAGGATTTAGTATTGCCAATTCCATCAAAACCCCCCTTCACAGAGGAATTCTTGATCGATATATCCGTATTGGCTGCCTCTCAATCACATTACTCTTCTGCATCAGTGGATTCTTGTATATTCTATGACACGTAGAGTCGCCTCATTTCGTGGAAATTTTTTCCTTCAAGATCACAAGACACAAAATAAGTATTGCTCATGTAAGGCAAGGTGAGTATTGCTTTCGCTAACTTGGCTTGATTATCACACATATTCAATACATATTCAATACCTATTATGTGTGATAATCAGGCCACGTTAATTTAAATTTTTCTTTCTCCTATTTTTAATTACATAATCTTCAATAAAATAATATTTTCGTAAATTGTAAACTTCTCATTTTTTTATAATCATCAATTTTTTAAAAAGAAAAATACTATTCCTCCATTAAAAATCCAAATAATGAGGGCCAAACGGGTCAAAAGTGTTGCATGTGTATTTGTCATTGTTGAAAATGGCATGGTATTTATGATTTCGAGGTTAAATTCTTGAGGTTTTCGTAATCTCGTCTGTTAAAGCCATTCCTTCTAACTTTTCAATTAAAAATACAGAAACTTAAAAGTTGGAATACCTAACCTTTATGGCTTGTTTAAAGTCAACTTTCCACACCAATAAATTAAGCTCCCATTTATTTTCGATTCTTTCTTCATTAAAATAAAAAATATTATCATTAACTATTACATCAAATCATTATATTTGAATTTTTATCTTTTGTGTGGAACTCATAACAACTATATTTTTCATTCTCATTCTTCTATAAATGAGAAACAAACGGGGCGTGCATATTTAGTTCTAATTTTTCATTCAAAAAAATAATTTTTTGATCGTTACATTCCTAAATCAGCTATCATTTTTGACTTCTTGTCTCACAGGTGAAACTCACATTTCTCTTTAACGGTCAAAAAATCAATTTTCATAATTACTACCGAACAAGCCCTAAAATTAAAATTATACATTACATGAGTTCATCCGATGCAAATGATATGTTACAAAGAAAAATCAAAATTTGTCTCGGTATCAGTTTAAATTAAAAAATCTTCACAAAATTCTGAGTAGCTTATGTACAACAATCAATTCATAGGATGTCAAAACTATTTTTAACCATATATTCACTAAAAAAGTATTATTAAAAAATCCTTTTTTTTTAAATAAAAAATGTAGCTCAAACAAAAACGCATTCTAATTCATCATAGACGGGAGTTTGGACAATATTCAACGCACAACGAATAACGTAGTAAACAATTTTCTCATGTTTTGAATTTTGCCCCCTCTTTCGTGTCTAAATTTTCTCGTCTTCGCCTTTCCTGAATTTGAGACTACACTTTTGTGCTGGATTTACAGAAAGTTATATATGTTTTCAATATTCTGAAGCCGTTTCTTTTGAATTTTGAGGTTGTCCTATCATGAGATTGTGTGGTCTTCACCGTAAGCGCCACTCCCCCCACCCCTCACCCTTCTCAATTTCTATTTACAGAAAATAGAAGCTTCATTCTGCATTTTATTGTTGAATGATTCACAAAACTAATATAGCAACTTTCAAAAATGAGTACAATCATGTTTAAATTTTCAATATAATTGTAAAATTAATGTCAAAACCGTCTATAAATTCCTTTAAATTATCATGTGATCTTCAAAGGTCTAAACATATAAAACTATATTTTGTTTCTCTCATTTAGATAATGCCCAAAAAATTGGAATGGAAATTGAATTTAACTGTTCTTGGATCTGTAACTGTAATGAAACTCGACTATCGACTTCTCTCTTTCTCTCTCTCTCTTTTTTTTTTCTTTTATAAATGTTGGAGCCCACTTTTTATTGTATGGCTAATGAAAAACTAACTATGTCATCTCTCTTCGAGTAACGTTATTCATCATTTTACTAGCAATTTAGGTGACAATAAATCTCTAATTCGTTGATGCATTGAACGCTGAATTAGAAATCTCATTGTTATCTAAAATGTTGCATAATGAATAATAGATAAATAAGTGCTATCTAAATTGGTGGCGTTCCTAGCAAATAATAAATTTTTATTCTTTTCTGTAATACAGACATGTAACAGCGGGTAAAGAGTGAAAAATGGGAAATGATTGGTTTTTCTTTGTATATTACTTTGAGAAAGAGTCAAATTTCAGCTTAGAAGAGGGGCTGTAAGTGGGGGAGAAAATGGACATAGGAATTTCTTAAAGAGATGCACTGTACAAAACAAAATTTCACAGAAATTGTACAAACAATTCACGATAAGGGGTGGGTAAATTTTATGACAAATTTTTATCAAAACGTGGGAGCCACTACATGTGAGGTTTGGGGAGCATTTTGTGAGAATTTATTCCGTACAAATAGCTTTCTACAATTTTTTAATATTTTCAAGAAAGTGACTAATATCACCAAATATTCTTTGGACTTTTTGTCAACCGTACTTTTTTTTTCTCATATTTATTTTTAAATTTGGATAGCTTGCACAGCACAATGTGATTTAGGCAAAAGTTCAATTAAGCAGCGTGGGTTATTTGAAAGTTGTTAAAAATTGTGGGTCCAGGCAATTAAAATTAATTGTTGATTTTAAATTTAATCTTTTAATTTTGAATTATTTGAAGAACCACTTAATCTCATAATTATTTTTTGGGGACAGTACATTCTTGTATAGTCCCACCTAAGAATATGATAGGTCCCAAAAATAAACTTGATCTATAAATCACTTGTTTCATCCAACAAATTTTTAAATTTTTATAGTTTATTTAGCCACTGTTTGATTTTTAGTAGATTTTTAACAGAACTGATGAAATATGCGTTGAAACATTGTAAATTTCATGAAATATGTGATTAAAAATATATTTGATGAAAAAAAATAATTTTTAGAAAATGAGAATCAAACAAGAACTTAGTAAAGGTTACAGTGGACCGAGCTAAGTCGTCCACGAGCGAATCATTTTTCTAAAAAATAAAATGAGTCTAAAAATGAGTCAGCTAGTGTCCACTATCGATTTGATCTGTTTGTCACCCCTAATTTGGGGGTAAAATAAGACGGGATTAATGAAAAATTGCCATAAAATTGGTCGGTGCTAGTATTACCATTGCAATAAAAGTATCAAACACGGAATTCAAAATGGGAATAGAATAACATGCAATTTTACTGTTGGAACCAACTTTTTGACCGTACATATTTGAATCTACAATAATATTTCACTGGGTAGACCATAGAATTTGTAAAGCTACCAAATCTCCACAGAGAAAGGCCATGGTTTTCATTTCATTTTACATGCATTTGTCAAGCTCAAATTGTTCGTGTTTCAAATGGATCGTAATCTTCATGTTCTTGTACATGTTCGCATTATCTCAAGCTGATCCAAGGATTTCCGAAGCTGGGCTTTTCTGTGGCAAATCAAGGCCGCCTCCAAATGCCAGTTACATCCCACTGTTTGTTAAAGAAATGAGATTTCTTTCTCAACTCGTGACATCCCAGAATTGGGGTAGTTCTGCAATGAATAATAGTGCTATTTCGATTTATAGTTTAGCCCATTGCTATAGAGATTTATCACACGATGATTGTCTACAGTGCTACGCCGCAAGTCGAACCCTCCTCCCCCGCTGCCTTCCCGCCGTGAGTGGCCGTATATTTCTCGATGGGTGCTTTTTGCGGTACGATAATTACAGTTTTTTAGGAGAAACAGTAGACCCAAATTGGGATAAACGGAATTGTAACAGTTCAATTGATGATAATATAAATCAGATTCAGTTCACGCGATCGGAATTTAATAAAACTGTTGAGGATCTGATTCATAATGTTACAACAAGTGCAGCATTGAACGATGGTTACGCGGTGGCCGGCTTGAAGGGTGTTTATGGTTTGGCTGATTGTTGGAAAACTTTGAGCACAAATGGTTGCAGAGAGTGTTTGACGGCGGCGGGTAGGGAGGTGATGGAGTGTTTGCCCAGCCGGGAAGGCAGAGCAATGAACGCTGGTTGTTATTTGAGATATTCTACTAAGAAATTCTACTCTAATCATTCTGATACAACAAATCAGAGTTCCGGTAAGTTTGGTTTATTCTATAATTTTTTATAGGTGATTAAAATTCTCGTTTGATCGAATTCGAGTCGAGATTTAAATTACATAATTGTTTTTCATTTTTACTTCTTTTCTGGTTAAGTATATATCTCTCTCATACTTTTTGAGTATGTGAACTTGAAAGAGCCAAGTCTGTGACAACATTTGAGTGATCCGTGGTCAGATTTCTCAATTTTAAGGCTATTTTGCAGAAATGTTGAAGACGGGGACAGTTTTGGCAATTGTTTTGTCGGTATCGGCCTTCTCTATGCTCTCTGTATTTTGCGGTTATGCAGTCTACAGAAGATGGAATAAACGAAATCAAGGTATAATATCCATAATATTATAGTTTTCAGAATCGATTCAGTTTCAAATGGGAATGGTTCTAATTATGTTTAATGCGGGTTTTGTGCAGCAAGAAAAAATCTTGGCCTAATTTCATGTTCTTACAACAAGTCGAATTTGAATTTCAAATACGAAACTCTCGAGAAAGCAACAAACTATTTTGATCCTTCTAGAAAAGTAGGACAAGGAGGAGCCGGAGCTGTGTATCGAGGAACCCTAACAAATGGAAAGACTGTGGCCGTGAAAAGATTGTTTTTCAGCACTAGACAATGGGTTGATGAGTTCTTCAATGAGGTTAATCTCATCAGTGGAATTCAACATAAGAATCTTGTGAAGCTTTTGGGTTGTAGTATTGAAGGCCCCGAGAGCTTGCTCGTTTATGAATTTGTACCTAACAAGAGCCTTGAACAATACCTCTTTGGTAACTGTTTATTTCTTTTTTTACTTCATTTAAGGTACTCTCGGATTTGTTTTTCGTGTCTTCTTGATATTTTTCCATCATTGTTTCCGTTCAGATGACAAGAAGGTTAAGATTTTAAGTTGGAAGGAACGCTACGATATTATAGTCGGAACAGCAGAAGGTATTGCTTTTCTCCATGGAGGTTCAGAATATAGAATAATTCACCGGGACATTAAGACTAGCAATGTTCTTCTTGATGAGAATCTTAATCCCAAAATTGCGGATTTTGGACTAGCTCGAAGTTTTGCCGTTGATAGATCTCATCTTAGCACAGGAATTGCAGGCACATTGTAAGAAAAATTATTATGGCTTTCCTTTGAGATAACCATCCATTTTTTGGCATATTTGATAAGATGGATTAGACAATACTAGATAGCATTAAGAAAGAAAAAGAATCTTCATTATATTCTCGAGTTCGGTCCAACATGACATACCAAACATGTTCATAAAGATTTGCCAGTTTCAAATTTAATGTATGATTTCTCATGATACAGAGGGTATATGGCTCCCGAATACCTAGTAAAAGGACAACTCACGGAGAAGGCTGATGTTTACAGTTTCGGCGTGTTGGTTCTTGAAATGGTGTGCAATAGAAAAAGTAATGCTTTTGTCGATGACTCGGGTTCTCTCCTTCAATCGGTATTTTCCAAATTTTGTCATTACTGCATTAATTTTTTTAGTATAATACTTTTATTCAGTTTATTCGTTGGTCCATATTTGTCAATGTGGTATTTTTGCATATAGGTTTGGAAACTGTACAAGACAAATAGATTGACAGAATCCGTCGATCCTTCTTTAGAAGGCGATTTTCCAGAATGTGAAGCATGGAGAGTGCTAAAAATGGGGCTTTTGTGCACACAGGCTTCAGTTTCTTTAAGACCGTCCATGTCTGAGGTTGTCCAAATGCTTACTGATTTCGACTGTCAAATTCCCGAACCGAATCAACCACCATTTTTGAAAGCCAGCCTGCTTTCTGCAACCACCACTCAGTCATCCTACAGCATAAACGGTTTGGCATCAAATGCACAGACAAGATTTGACGCATTTTACACCTCCACAGAAACCTCTACTCAGAGTTCAGATGCACATCCCAGAAGTAAAGAACAGAGTAAAATATAGGAACCCGAGTTTTTTATATCAAGTGAAACACCAGCACAGCACAAAAATCGAACATACACATCCGACGAATGCTGCCTAGACAGCCACGAATAAGGAAATACAAGGGCAAGTTTTTGTACACTTTGTTAGTATGGTACAGAAGCTCGACTCTGTAGAGAGTCTAGATACCCCGCGAATGTGTTATAAACGTGCTCATGATCTACAGTATAGTATGAGGGATAAGTTTTGAAATACAGAAATTGCTTGTCAAATTGAAAAACGAGTACCTATGTCTAGTCCTGCTTTTTTGCCAAGAGGCAATCTTTTCTACTGGGGTTGCTTTGATTTTTATAATATATTGTGACATGCCATCATGACATCAAAGAACGAAATATTTTCCATCAATTTGTATTTTTTTTGCTATAAAGTTGAATTTTTCATTGATTGGATTTCAATAATGGAAAAGACTAAATCAAGTATGCTTTATGGGTTTTGTGAATTTATTGAGAGGAGCATTTCAATCTCTAGACACGCTTGTTGAGGTACAAAGATATCCTAATCTTATCAGTCAACACAAACAATTGCATATGTCGGCCTCGATTTTTTATTTGAAAAATCTGAAGTCAAATCTATCAGATGTTACTAAAGTCTGCTCAGTAGGTAACCAAACGGGTTATTTCCGCACCAGCTTCTCATTGTACAAGCATTTATTAATGTCAACAGCTAATCCTTTTATTAGTTGTTTCAACTTTCAACATAAACGATTTGAATTAAATTAATTTGGCTGAAATTAATTATCAACACATTCACATTTCAAGTGGATGCATTTTTATTTGTTCAAATAAAGTGGTGTCCTTTTCATGGTTTAATCGATTGATAGAGAAATTTGTAGGGACCTTAAGTAACAAGGAAATAAGCAACACAAATTATTCATAAAAGATCCCTTTGAATCATCGACATTAATTAGCCACTCATTTGGTAGATGTGTAGATGACCGACCAAAATTAATGAGTTCACATTATTGAAACACCTGATCTCAAACATACTGACAGAACATAGATGATCAGCTATAAGCAATGAGTTCATATTATCGACCTATTTGATCTAAGGGTGCATTTGATTGCAAGTAAGAAAATCGTATGGAAAGAAAATATTTTCCAGGTAATTCAATTCTCAAGAAATTATTTATATGGAAATTGTTAATTACGTGTGTTTGATTGACTTAATTTCAACCTAGAAAATATTGCAATTTTCCATCTTTTTGTGTTTGATTGCCATTATTTTTCATAGAAATAGTCATTTTTTCCAACTTTAATTGTTTGACAATCATTATTTTTCATGGAAATTGTTACGTGTTGACACACTTGACCGACCTCCTAGGGCCCATGGCCCACTTACACCGAACCACATAGCATCTTATCCGAGGTCCCCAAGCCAACAGGAGTAGACCAACATACTGTAACCACGCCCATGACTTGGCCCAAATGCTGACTCCGAAGTGAATACTGAATATACAATGTGGTCTCCTGGCCGAGGCTTATCACTCCGAGGCCCCATCTTATCCGAGGCCCTGAGGCTCTAAGCGGCACTTCTCCCCAAAAATCCGATCTTACACAATGATCATTCCTGATGGATTGATGAGACACCCATCATAGAGTGCAAGTGTCTTGTCTTGTCAATGTAGTGACGGAGCCGCCGACTAATAAATGTGTAACAGGCTAGGAAGTCAAATGTGATACCTATAATTTGACATGTAAACTTACGAGATAAGGCCATGTGTACTCCCAACCAAGAGCCACGATCTAAATTGTAATACTATAAATAATCCCCATGTATCTCTCTCAAGGGTAATGTAAGATTCAACATAAAAACAAATACAACATTCTTTATATTTTATTCTCTTGCAACATACATAAATTCATACTCGCATTCTACAAATATCGATTGGTAATTATTGTACAATCGTTGTGCAAACATCTCGCCGCATTCCGAACGTTCTCGTCCCGCTCCTTTGAGTCCTTCCCATGCCCCCTTTTGCTATTATTTTTAGACCATCCACGTGTTTTAACGTGTTGGACCAGGCTTATGTGTGCGCAAATGGGTCCGAATCTGTTGGCAACATATTATGGGGGTCAACAGAAATTGTAATTTTTTCCATGAAAATTAGCCAATCAATTTTTAGAAATATTAAGCAATGGTGTTTTCGTAAATAAATTAATATTGCATGCACACCATATTTATGATTTTTTGGAAAAGTCATATTTCGATAATAATATGATAGAAAATAATCTGATTATATCAGATTTAAAGAGCAAGCAAATCTTGTCAAAGTTGAATTAGCTATGATTTTGAATTGGATTATTGTCAATGTCATGGCCAACAACATGAATATTCCATAGCAGCAACTTAATTTAATAAATTAATTGAAAACCTTAAACACCTAGGCAAGCATTCTTAATTAATGTATACTGGTTGTTTTTTTTTTTTTTGTTAATCGGTCTCAAATTTCTCCTAAAGGATACGATTCTGACCATAATAGTACATAATCATGCGGGCCGAACATGCTGGAGTCAGGCGCGAATCTAGCACCTGGCGAGCACATGCGGGCCGAACATGCTGGAGTCAGGCGCTGATCCAGCACCTGGAGAGCACCCGCGGCCGTGCGTGCTGGATCCGCCAGTCGCTGGAGATTTTTTTTTTTTTTTTTTTGACAGTAGATTTAAATTATTACCTTATATTACTAATAATCCATTTTGTTCTGTAAAATTGTTGCAGCTTAGTGGGTTGGTGCTTGATTGTTTATTTTTAACATCCTCAGGTTCGAATCCGTCCTAACGAAATTGTTGTGTATTATTCTTAAACTACTATTTTTACCAAAATTCAACAGGATGGGGACAAAAGGGATTTGAACCAGTGACTCTGTGCAAGGAATGTATTAAACTTGACTATTATGGTACTTCATTAATTGTGTCACTAAATTTACCAAAATAATATTTGTTAGGTTTAACTGATTTAATGCAACCACATTTCCAAAGACTCAAATCCACACTCTTCCTTTGAATTATACAAACTTGGCAATAATGTCATTTGATGAGTCATGTTTATTCTTATAACAGAATTATATATGTTTAATTTAAACAAAATAATTGTTATATTTAAACTTCAGGCTTTGTTTGATTTCCATTTTTTTCAAAATACATTTTCTCTCTTTTATTTTCATCTATATATTCTTCAATAAAATAATATTACACGCAAATTCGAAACTTTTTTTTTTTTTTAATTTTGAGCCACACATTTTTCATCAAATCACTACTCAAAAATGCATTTTTTGCAAAAAATGGGTATTAAACGGACTCTTAATATTTTATTGCGGCCTACGGTAGATGATCAACGGTCCGCCCATGCTGACTCAAACTCTTGGATTCGTCCCTGGCTGGAGTACTGTAGGCCACAATTCGTTTCCCAATTAAGTAAAAATCAACGACTATGATACACACAAAGCTGCTGGCAAGTTTTCCTGCTTCAACACTGCTTTTCCTAGAAATTCAACAATCTGCCTTTTTGAGATTAATCTTTTTTTTGAAAGAAACAAACATGACCTCTTAATGTCTGCAATGAATTTAATGAATAAGATTTTCTAACACAAACACAAGTATTCAATCCAAACTACAAATTCCCTTCTCTTAAAGAATCAGAATATGTAATCATCCTCATTCAAATGGCAGAATGAGTCTGCTTCAATCCTTGTTTTTCTTTTTTGTTCGAAAATAAGTAGGTTTTGATCTCATAACCCGACTAGATAACCAGAGGTAAATAAATTTTTCATAACATGGCACATTTGATATATTGGTTCCTATAAACACTAGTACCTCATTGCCAATCAGGTCTCCATAGAACGAAAGTATCATAATTCATATATGCTGGTTACAAAAATGCCTAACCAGGTAACCATAATGCATGTAGTCCGAAATTTATGGTGAATTAGAAGTTATTTTGCCTATGTTTTCCCACTCAACAGTAGAATGAAATCATTCAAATCTTGAACAAATTTGACAAAACGTTCACATGGTGTGGCATGATTTTTATATCATAAGGTACACAAAGCCATGCTTCTAGTGGATAGAACAAGAAGTTCTCTGGTTTGCTGGTATAAACATCGGCAAATTGATGGATGTGGTAACTAAATGCAGATTCTTGACCAGTGTCGGTAAGAAATGTAGCTCCAAATGACCCATTAAACATGGTTTTCATAGCGCAACGTGCCTTCTGCCTCTCTTTGTTGATCTCCCGAAGAAGAGACTTGTACGCTTCACTCTTACAATTCGGAACATTGGAATGCACTTTTCCAAGAAGTTCTTGTACTAAATGAAACTTCGTCTGCTCAAAACGATAACTATCCTCGTTCTGTATTCATATCTCATTTTCCAATTCGTGGATAATGGCAGCAGTATGCCACCCTGCTTTCGATGGCCCTCTCAAGTCACTAAATAGGTGATCCCCAAAGTCTATCACCTCTGGACCATTCCACTTAGTTATATGGGAAAAAGCCTTCAGGCATCCATGGTAGTAAATTTTTTTTGTAAGAAAAACATCTACCTTCGAAAAAGCCAAGTTGTCTTTCTCCTTATCATAACAACGAAATGGATGCTCAGATGTGTAAAACTCTAGTTTGTTGGCTTTAGCAATAACGACATCAAAAAGTTCCCTCCAGGAGTCTAGGTATCCCAAAGAATCCTCCAACATAAAGCGCGTCCCTCCATCCACAAAATAATAGGGAGAGTTGGTCAACAAGAAAAGTTTCTTCCCTTTCTCTCTTAGCATCTTTAAAAAGCGTAATAGGTATTTATGTGGATCAGTAAGAATTCCTCTATGAGCTAAGCCAATTCGATGAACGTGTTGAATTGCTCGATTCACATCTTGGTAGACATAATAATTGGCGTCAAATTCCAGCTCAGTCTCAACAAAATGTTGAACAATATCAGCAATAAGGCATGCCTCACTGAAGCAAAAGAAGTCCATCAAACCGATGGACTTTTATTCAAACTCACCAAATGTTTTAGAACATCATTGGATTCGTTGTACATTCTTGAACATAACAAAATATGAGTCATGACACAATAATTTAGACCACAGAACCTCAAGAAAATTGGAAGCGAAAATGCCTCAAAAACAACACTTCTGGATTTATAATTGTAAACCAGCAGTCCTGGATTAAGCATATGCCAATCAAAGTTTCCATTGATGGTCCATTCAGAAGGATTGTCTTCTATTTCCACTCTATTTGATAAACTAGTTACCATGATGTCACAACCATAAGCATACAATCCCTGACATAATTTTTCATCAATTTTTAGAAAATACATTAAAAAAAAATAAAATTCCTCAGGGTAAAGACAAAATTTCTTTCTTTCTTTTTTCTTGAAAGGGAACCTTATCCATTTAAAGGCTTTATAAGAGCATACCAAAACCCCCCATTCAAAAGTATCACAAAGAGCATGGATACATCATGTTCATACAGAGATATTTTGAAGCAAAAACCAATGATTTCAACCAATGGCGACATCATATACCTACAGAGTTATACCGACCGATCAGATACTTACCAAAGATTCAATGATCTTCGAGCTCGACAAGTCCGATATCTGGGACACGACTGCCAGATTGGTTTCGTCGGAGTTTCGAAAAGCCAATTCGAGAATCTCTCGAAAGAATTCTTCGGCAACAAGTGGAGTCCCCATCAACAGACTAGCATCTCTGCCGGTGAATACACCGGACTGGTCAAACCGTCGAAGATACTAAAGGAAGAGTATAGGGTGAATCACCAGAGGGACTTCGATGAGGATGATTTCGAGGACGACGACGAGGACTCGGAGAATTGGGATCCGTCTCATGAGTTTTTAGCTAGGCAAATAGCAAGGACGAGGACCGATTCCTTCTCATTGCACGAAGTTACAATAATTCAACTATTGTAATTAAATTTTGTAATATTTATGAAGTTACAATAATTCAACTAATGATATGTTTAATTTTAGCTCTTACAAAATAACATAATCCAATCTTATGTGTCTTTTAGGTCTCTCTTTGCCGAGTTCTTTATAAATTTGATTGTTAAAATTACAGAAAAATGGAAGATAGCAAGCTCAAAATAATTAAGAGAAACATTGTTGAGCTTCAATTCGATTTCTCCAGAACTATAGAAACGACACTACAAAAGAGTAATAAATTTGGATAAAATTTAGGTCAATTTGATTAAGTTGGCTTTAAATTGAAAATTAGAAATATGAAAATCTTTTTTTTTTTTTGTTTGAACTAAATTAACTAGTTAACAAATTTAATTAGAAAAAATAAAATAGTTCGACTTATTTAAATAAATTAATTAAAAAATTAGGGAGATTTGATTTTTCGGTACTTGATCAAGAGCCATGAATCGAATTGAACCGAACCAAATTCATAAGTTCTCAATTCAAATACCCGTTCAGGTATTTAACTTAAAAAAGAATCGCTCGATTTAGTTTGAGTTCGAGTTCGGTTCAGTTCGAAAATTTTGTCCAACCCTAGTTGCGGAAGCTCTCTTTAAAGATCTTCAAATCAGTGATTTTCGGGTTCAGTCCAATGCACCTTTCTCAATCAACAACCAGTCCAATCGGCTCCAAACCACAACCAGTTGATTCACTTTGGTTGCTATTCAATCTTACCTACGTAGGACAAGAAATGATGATGATTTACGGCCACAAAGGCTAGGAGAAGACACCACAAAGGTATACTATGAAAGAACCATCAATTGCACACGTTATACAAACATTGTAGACACTTCTGGACACCTTTTTTCTCACACAAAGGGGGGCAGCCGGGATTCTCTATTTTTATTCTCTGAAAATCACACAATTATCATATAAAAGAGGCTAGGGTTATATCCATATATATACTCTAGGGTTAGGCTTTAATTTGAGCCATTAAAGAAGTAAACGAGTCAATATTCAAGCAATCCAGAAGGAATACAATTGGGTTGGGTGTAGCTCATGAACTTGATTGTTAGACTTATTTCATTCATCGGCTTATGAAATAATATTAACCCATGTATCAAAAACCCAACACACATTTATGCACGGACAGATTAGTGCCTCAATTCAAACCATCAAGATGCTTGTCCACATGACCATTGACCCAACCGTTTGTTAGTGGTAACGGTATTTGGGCGTGATCTTACAAGCATTCTTCCACGTACTCCATTACATCGACCGACCATGTCCAAAATCTTACCACCAATTCGTAGAAAAAAGACTAAAGAAATCTTAAATTAATCTAGTATATAAAATCTTAATAATATCTTTTGCTTACTAGTAACACCTCACAATATTTTATCTATATCCTAATTCACTCTTCTAGTCTAACAATTTGACTTTTTGTTCATTTTTCGAAAAAGATCCTACAAAATGTAAAATAATTTATGTATGTGTATTATGTTTCATAGAATAAATCTAGCCCTTGTTTGATTTTGTTAAAAATCATATTTTTGATAATTTTTTTAATTGGTAATTGAAATTTAAAACAAAAAAATAGTTATAAATCCTGTGAAATATGTGATTACTCGTTTTGGCCACCCATTAATTTTCATTCTATTACATTTCTTTTTTCTCTCTCATATTTTCAACCACACAATCTTCCATAAAATAATATTACACGAAAACAAAAAACTTTTCCTTCCTTTTCAACTACTCATTTTTTTAAAAAAAAAATACTATTTTACCTATTTTTATTTCTACAAAATAGGGCCAAACGAGGGCTAAAATTAATTTTCTTAATTTATTACGGGGTCAACTTTAGCCAAGATAACTTGAAATATAATATAAATATTTGATAGAAACTGCGTAATAACTTTTTTTTTTTTTTTTAATTTTTGGACTAATTCCAAATTCAATGTTCGAATTGTGGAAGCTGCTTATTGGTGTGTTGACCGTGAGGGCAGTTAGAGCCAACGATCAACGGTCATTTCTTGCAGTTGTAATTAGTTAGTACAACGAGTGAGTTTTCAGCTCTCCAAATTTTGACTATTTTTGCCAATTATGTCACATGTCATTTTTACCACCCTCCACGTATCACCTAATTCCTTTCTTACGGGAGAAGTATGGGACTTCCCCGTGGTCGGTGGTTGGTGGGCCCGATCTTCCATCCGACCGCCCAAAATCGCGGGGGAGCGGTGGTTGTGTAATTGAAGAATCACTTGCACTAATTCATAATGCTTTGAAAAGAAACACAGAGGAAAAATAATTGAGTCCCATTGTAAAATTTATGATTATTGGTATTAATTGAATTCTTAAAAAAATTACTTGTAGGAGCTTTTCAATTAAACTATTGGAATTTTGAAATGGACGATAAAGATATATTTTGATATATATACTATGTTAACAAAAGTCTGAGCGAAATCAGAGCAAAGGAGGTTTAGGATTAGAAACGAATAACCAAATAAAAAATATACGCATATATATCATTATGAAAAGCCAAATTTTGAGGTATATTATGATCAGATTCATAAAGTTCACTTTTTTGAAAAAAAAAAAAAAAAAAAAATCATTCTTCTTGAAGGAAAAAAGTAAGATAACTTTATTCTCCCTTTTTTTTTTTTGGTTTTATTCATGGAATGAAAACTTAAGATGGAAGGTCTTCGACTCTTCGGGGTACGTTTGGCTGATGCCTCTCTTCCGTTTTCTCCTTTGCTTGGTGAAAATATAATACCAAAAGTATAGAACCATTGCGCTTCCGTCGTACTTGTGCTATTATTACATGAATTTGAGATGTTGTAATTTTATTTTTCCAATCATACTTGTCAAAGTTGATTTTCATTGTAAAATTTCACATCACTCGAAAATAAAAATATATAATAATTTGAGTTGCCACTCTTAAAACAATCGGCCTTCTAAAATGAAGTTGTATAATAAAGGATAAAAAATTCAAAGTATTAATTAGATTCATCTAAAGTTTTTTATTCAAAAAAAGTTGAACTATAATAGTATTGCATTATGTTTAAACGGGCTATCAACTTACAAGATCATGTTTAAGGTAAAATCTCATGTCACTTAATTATAATCAATATATAAGAACATTTGACTACTTAGTCCCCAAGAATTATAATTTCGTCCACCTAAACAATTTATCAATATTGTGCAAAATGATTAATTGTGGTCTTAATATAAATAAATAAATAAATAAAAAGGAGGAATATTCATTAAATCCAACTTTTATTAGAAAAATAATAAGTAATATAATAAAAATGTTTTCATGATGAGATGATAGAATATTCTATGATCAGGAAAATTTTGATTGATCCGATAAAAAGGGAATTGTAACCACTTATAGACTTGCACAAACACCTTAAAATCTTGGGGACTATTCCAGGAGTATATGTCATGATTGTCACGAATGTGATGCCCAACACCACCCTATTAATCAATTTCTTTTGTGGTTAAATTTTTTAAGCAGTTGTTAAGTATGCAGTATTGTATAAAATTATTTTTAATATAATAAATATAAAATGTTAACGTAATTTTTTTCCTGGATATTTGAAATGATATAAGGCCTTCTCTGCTTGTTCCTATTTTTTGTAGTATAATCAACCGTGTTTGAAACGAAAATGTTAGTGTTTTATACATTTCCGTGCAACTTAGAGAATATGAAAATGTCTTCTAATAAGAAAGTTTTGTCCTCGCTCATTTATGAAAATCGTGAACTTGTAAAGCTTAGAGTGAATATTGTATTCTCGATAACACCTTAATCTTTTAGATTTAAGTAATTCAAGACGGTTTGATTAAGCCCGTTTGTTCTTTCTTTCTTTTCTTTTAATTCAAGATGGTTTAATTATGCTCGATGACACATTTCAAACATGCAGGAGCAGAAGCTAATTTTGATGTTATAAAACATACTACACAATATGGTAAAAAAGCATACTTATTTGGAAATTATTTCTATGTGCCACATTTAAAAAAAAATACAAAATAGATAAGAACGGAATAAGGAATAATATTATAAACAATTACATAAAAATAAATTTTGGCAGTGGAAATTCTTTTATGTCTATTGCTTACAGCAGACAAGTAAAAGAGATTCTTCTAAGACGAAAAGAAAGAATAATTTCAAAAAGTTTGCTTTATATTTCCCTATTCGGAATTCAAGTGTACCCTTTTGATGACACAAATGATTCTTAATTAGGACCATTATAGTGACCTATGATACCCTCTATTCTACTCATGCCATTCCAATGTTCAATCGTGACAATTTCCCTGTGAGAAATAGAAAATGCACTTAATTTTCCTTAACAATATAGAGAAGAGCTCATGAAACAAAATTGTCGAATTAATCATATGTAGGCGAATTTAATTGATTAGCCGCATTAAATTAGACAATTGAGGAAAATAATTATCCTATTCATTCCAAAGATTTTTGGACGTTCAAGTGTGTGCAAGAAGACTCCCATGAACTCTATCTCACAATTATCAATTATAGTGATTCAAACATACGATACACTCAATTTTTAGCAACACAATGTCCTCATTTTCAATCCAATAAATAAATAAATAAATAAAATCCTCACACACACTCTTTTAATATTTTATTATAAAAGTGTTGAACATTACAACCCGTGAAAGAGGGATTAGAACAAATTATTTACATGATTTTACACGAAAGTAAATTAAAAAGTAGGTAAAACACTTCGTCAATTGGTCAAGATGTATTGGTAGGCTC